TAATCAAAAACATTAACGGATATTGGGACAACTTCCTAGTTCCTAATATTTGTCAGTGAAATATAGCGCAAGCACTAGCCTGTTGAAAATTTAGTTGAAGGAAACACGATTGCAGGGAAAAACTAAATGTAAAAACACGAATTAAAAAATGATTAAGCATTCACACCGAATGCTGAAGGCGACGTAGAAAAAAAGATTCTCTTCAGTTCAATATAATACTGTGATTAGTTTTTGACGATGATATAAATTATGCTGGAACTTAAAATCTCGTATTATGCTAATAATACGAGATCGCTGGTTCAAAATATTGAGTGCAGGGAAGCCATGCAGTCCAGATCACTGGAACTTCCATCCAGAAGCTGATCCAACCAGACGGCGCGCAGGTACAGTCTGAAAAAAGGTGGAACAAATATGGGCCAACCGGGCAGGCTGTGCTTGATGAAATTGCGGAGAGACTCAGAGAGTGATGAGTTATTTTTTTGCTGGCTTCAATGTTCATGTATCATATCAATTATCATACAATATAAGGCAATCGTGTATATTGTAATAATTATACTTTAGGACACCCCTTATATTTTATTTCCCTTCATAAATAACATGCCCTATTCTCACAAAATTAAGCCAGCTGATATTCAAAATTATCTTGGCAAACTATGACGATATACATGTATAGCCAAACGTTTAGGTCCTAAAACAAACATAATATTAATAGGAGTCTACTCGTTCTCATAATGAAATGGAGTCCTTAATACACACTAATTTAAGCTTTATTTCCTAATAAGTGTACAGGAACAATTAAGCATATTAGAAATGCACAGACCCTAATGGAGATATTTGATGAGAAGAAAATTGTAATATGCATGTATTTATAATTTATATTCAAAACCGTCCCCAGCACTACACATTGCAGTTCTAAACTGTCCAAGTTTAAATGTTAAATGCCTCGTTTTGTGATATTGTGTGGGCAATTTCACCATCATGTATTTTGTAATCAGTGTATTCAAGATTAAATTGTTTGCATTTTTTAACGACAGGTGTTTAATAGTGTTAAATACGCCAATCAGGTCCATCAGAATGCAAATCATAGATCCCCAATTATCCTTCTGTAGAAAAAGTGTAGCATACAAGCCGTAACATTTAAAGCAGTCTCGTAGTTTCCAAAATGACCCAGACAGCATGACATAATAATAAATAAACAATTTCCGGAAAAAATTAATACAAGAATAAAAAAAATGAGCACCGGTTTTTAGGTTTAGTTAAATTACAATTTCCCTATCCAAAGGCAAATACAGGCCGATCTATTACTGTTGAATTTTTTTTCATATAAAATGCTTAGGTGAATAATAGTCAAAGGAGTGGAAATACGCAACAGAGTAGAGCTGAATGGGTCTCCATGGGTCTCGCGAAGCACTGTGCCTTTAAACACCAGCATTCTCTGATTTTAACTTCTCCAACTGCACATTCTCAGTCTGTTCTAGACATGGACTGCAGCATTGATGAAAGTTGGCTGATTTACGACATAAACAAAATGCATAATTAGCCATTTTAACAAAACTAATTAATGAGCAGGCGAAATCCATCCCCCCCCCCCCCCCCACAATTTGAAAATGTCGAACGGAAGAACACTTGGTTATTTCAGTGTCATCAAATCACCCGAACACAGTGAAGGAAAGAAAAAAAGATGAATCACAATAATACACATTAATAACAAATACTTCACAATTTCATGGCAAGTAGAATCCATATTGCAACATATTGAAGCAGGGATCACGACGGCAGCACAGCTGAGCATGTGGTTCGTGAGCCCAACAGCCTGCACAGTCAACAGCCGCCGGCAACTCCAAAAGATGCCTAGCGCGAAAAGGGTATGGCTGGTTTGGCTTCTTGCCAAAACAAGAGCATGGGAACTTGCCTAGCACAAGACAGACAGGTAGATCGTCATGATGACGAAATGTCACCACCAATGCGATGAGCTGCACAAACATTCCCGCTAAACTGGAGTTAACTGATAGGCAATAAGACCCGCCCAAACATCCCATATATAGGTTGACTAGTGCAAGGCATAACCATAATAACATTATTGTCAAGGATATCTAATGACGTGTGTCGGCTTCGTAAATATTCATGATACAGTTTCTAAACTGCATGGTGGATGTATGTTTTGAAGAAACGGGAAATGATTTATTCCATCCTAATTGGACGCTTTTTGATATCCCTCTAAAGTAATGGTTGATGTTTTAATTGCTTTTGCGGTCATTACGCATAAAAGTGAATTATTGTTAAGCTCCAATATTTGGTTTGGGTGCATTAAAATAAAATTTATATTGATACCTCCTTCTAAAGTGAATTTGTTTTGTATTGCTAAAAAAAATGTATTTCAAAAAAGACGGAAGTAGGCCTATTTATTTTCGAGGTGAAACTCTGAGCTTGAAGTTGTATTATCATGATTATTGATAAACATATTAGACCTGATGTACATTTCTTCACTAATTCTACATTACAAAGGAAAAATTGAAAAGACTACGAAGTTGATTTCCACTTGTCAACATTTAACAAACGATGTGTCGGAAATTTGCCACCTATCAAAAAAAAATATCAGGAAAATATTCGAGAACACAGCGCCTTGCTCCTGGTTTAATAACAAATACTGCCGACGCAACAAAGCCTGAATATTACCGAAGCACTGACCTGTAGCTGGTTACGCGAACTCCGCGTACGATAGGTTCGCGCACTTCGCGAGCTCAGCAGCTGTAGCATATTAGCATAGCTTTAGCATAACAAAGGCGCATTGTCATGCGATACAAATGAACCTGCAGAGCTCGATGTTTACTCGTAACTTGGGATCAAAATTAGTTCGCGAACTTCACTGACCTCGCAAACAGTCACTATTGAAGCCTGCCCTAAAATGCCCTAAAACAGCTGCTTGAAAAAACACAACGGAACTTTATTTTTTGTTAAAATAAATAAAAAGCCAATCCGACACAAGTCCCTGTTGTCATCTTTCTCTTGTAGCCTAGCCTTGGTCAAGGCGTTCTTCATGATTCGTCTGTACGCAGGAAATGATTGGCGGCATATTCTCACTATGCAGTGCATGAAAAATACAGCGCGAACAGCAACCTTATGCGGCCACTATGCAAATCAGTTGGATCCAGACGAACGCCTTGGTCCAATCATCTGCGAAAGCTTACGTTTTTCTTTATTTATGCTAGATTTCCAGTGCACGACCTCATATGCGCATACAGATACGGTAAGTATGGGCGGGGTAATATGTCGAGTGTCCAATCAAACCTTGGTGAATCCCGATGTCCCGAAGATGAAAGCGGTGACTTATCAACACAGTAAATTCAATCATCCGTGCGCTAATATTGCCCTTTCGTTGCAAGCTAAATAGCATTCCTAGCGCCATCAACAAATAAGGAAGGCCAAGTTTGGCTTTTTTTCAATTCGGTTCAGCGGTTCGGCTGCAGCACTACCTAAAACTAACACAAAAATCATCTGGAACAAGAATTGAAAAGACCCGGAACACAAATAGCATCCCCGTCCTAAATCAGAACAACACAGATAAGGTTGAAGCTCTTGCCAACAGCTTTACTAAAGTTAACAGTACAAACAATTACTGACCCTCTTTTATTCCATAAAAAAAGATACTGAAAAAGAATTCTCCATCAATGATAACAAAGGCAGTGTCATTAACAAGCCATTTAATATGGTAGAATTAAACCATGCAAACGACACCTCCAAGTGTACCACCGCTGGGAAGGACGGCATTAATAATGCTGTAATTAAACACCTCCCCATGATTACTTGCTGATCATCTTTAACAGAATCTGGCAAACATCTCAAAGCCCCAAACAATGGAAAGAAGCCATTTTCATCCCACTCTTCTTAAACCAGGGAAAGAGTCCACCAATCCCCTGTCCTATAGACCAATTGCCTTGACCTCTACTTTCTGCAAACTTATGGAATGTACATTGTATGGTCAACTCCAGACTCCTTTGGTACTTAGAAACACATACATGTAATCTGTTATCCAATTGCCAGAGGAAAAGGAAGAAGTACTAAAGACCGTATTCTCAATCTGGAGCCATATTCATGAAACCTTACTAACTTAGCAGCCAACTAGGCCTTAGTAGGATACTAAAATGTCTAGCAGTCTACTATGTAGTTGACAAATAAATTGTGATTCACGAAACCTTAATATGAACCTTGCTAACTAGTTACATAAAATACTGCAAGTGAGACTTGCGCAATCCCCCTGGCATGCTGGCAGTTTTTTGTTGTTATCAAGTCAGTGTCCCTAACAAATGGAAGATTTCTATTGTTTTAGCAATAGTGACCTTGAACTTTGACCTGTCTGCCCCAAAATCAATAGGCTTCTTGATAAGACTATCAAGAGCAACCCACAAACCAAATTTGAAGTTCCTCTGTAATGCATTTCTCAAGCATTCGTGCTGAAAATATTTCTAGTTTTAAAAATGATGACCTTGACCTTTGACCTCTCCGTCCCAAAAGCAATAGGCTTCTTAAGACTACAAAGAACAACCCATAAACCAAATTTAAATTTCCTTAGTAAAGTATTTCTCAAGTTACCACGCTGACAAGATTTCTATTGTTTTAGCAATATAGTGACCTTGACCTTTGACCTGTCGGCCCCAAAATCAACAGGGTTCTTAAAACTATCAAGAACAATCCACAAACCAAATTTCAAGTTCCTTAGTGAAGCATTTCTCAAGTTATCGTGCTGACAAGAGTTAACCTAACCAAATCATAACACACACACACACATGTTTTACTATACGCCTGAGGACAACCTATTGTGTTTCCCTTTGTCCCTCTAATATAACACTTTCCCATAGAATAAGCACAAAACCGTACGATCGAGGACCGATTTTAACAATAGGCACCCGTCGTCCGAGGATCAAAGGCCCCTTTGTGCTCCTGTTGTTGTCTGTTCTCGAGCGTAATACAATACAAGAGCGCCCATGTTTGTATGTTCTTACCTTGGAAGAGATGTTTCTTTTAAAGCTGCAGGTTGAACATACAAGAAGTTGTCATCACTATCGTCATCTTCATCTTGAGATGCCATATCGCTTAGAGCAGCTAAACTGCCATCCATCATGTTGTTGTACAGGGTAAAGTTTCTGGAAAACGTAAAAACATAAAAACAACACAATCACACTTGATACAATGTCTCGTCTTCACACACATGACACACCAAACTAAATTTGGGTCAGTCAAAAGTAAAGTTGCACATTGACCTCTGCTATTTTGTAGTAAAACATGAAAAGACTACCATAATTTTCAGAATATAGGCCGCGCGGAGTATAACGTCGCGTCAGTGTAACAAGGTCGTATCTCGATTCTGCAACAAAGTCGTATCTCGCGTGAATAAGCTCCGTGCAACAAGGTTGTATCTCAACGTCCATTGACTTTGCATGTACATCCGAGTTATCTTGAGCGAGATAAAACCTTTTGACATTCTAAAACTCGCGTTTTGCATTTATGTCATTTTACGACCTTGTTGTACTGACGCGATGGTAAGCCGCAGCATGCAAAATCTGCAAATTAAAATTTGCAGTGCATGTTTGGGTCAAGATCCAATGGCGTGACGCTACGCAAATGAGGACTCTTTCATTCCGGTAAAATGGCATGCACGGGGAGTTCTTCTCAATACGTAAGGGACATGTTTGCAGATCTGGCGACGTTTTAACGACCAAAAAAGTCTATAAGCCGCAGTACACATCTTCATGGGCAAAATCAAGGTATAAGCTGCGGCTTAAAACTGAAAATTACGGTAAATTAGTGCTGCAGCTGAACCACTGAACCAAATTAAAATTCGGCAAACATTGCATTTACGGAACCGGACTGGACCAAACCAAACTAAATTGTTCAGTTTGGATGTCTGGAAACAAGATTTTCAGCGTCGCATATTTTTATTTGTACAATCGAAGTTATCAAAATATGCACCACAAAATTAATAAATTTTCATTATAATAAGGCAACTCAATCAGGGGCTGAGCGCGCGATCACAATAGATCACAGACCAAGCAGCCACAGAGCAAAGTGCAAGTGCCACCAGTGCTACTCAAACATTATGAATTCTTCCCAAATGTATGTGAACCTAACCAACACCATTTGTATTTTCAATTCCCACTGAAGCCTACAGCGGCGGATCACGCAGTTCCAGGACTGTTTTGGGGTAGACGTGTGAACGTGGCATGTAAACAAAGCCATGTTCTGTTGTCATTTTGAACCTTTTGAGTACTTAGAAATCATTGAGTGCCTTTTGCGCATTCAGGATGTTTTATTTCAAAGAAATTTGCCAAAACTAAAGACCCATACAAATGTATAGAAATACGATTTTAACGTTAACTGGACAAGTACCCAGTGTCATGTGAAGCACACGATTATGGTTGTCGCTTGGACAGATTGACGGCTTGATACTGATGTACAACTTATGAATACTTGGGCCCTTCAATCTTACATCATTACGGCGCATTTAAAGCTTTTGTACTTGTTTTCTTTTGTTCAGTGCTATTAAATACATTTTGCTTGTAATAGGAAGTTCGGAAATTACCTAAAAATCCACCACTCCCTGGTAAAAAAAAAAGTGGGGGGGGGATATAAATATACCCCCCCCAGCATGTGTTTATTGAACACAGTTTCTTTTGCTGTCCGTCTGTTGTGTTTGCTAAATCAGTCTGCTACTTGCACCCAATATTTGCACAAATATATACACTTCCAAAATCAGTTCAGTGATAATACTTTCAGTGATAATATTACTGTAGCAGGAGCCTCGAGCTCTTGTCCTCCAAGTCGAGCAAAACGCAAGAAAAGGGGACACACAACACACAGGATTTGAAACACAAAAGAGCTCCTATTTATTTAGCTCAAACAGACAACTTGAGCTAATTTGTTATAGATTGGGGAATAGCGTTCTGCTGCCTTACAAAAAAACACCATATTGATAAAAATAAAAGAAAGGGGTAAACAGATCCTGGAATCATGTGCTTACGAAACTACTGATCGGAAAAAACGAACAAATTTCAAATGTCCTGCACTGCAAATTTGTCAACCATCTCCCACAATACACTGGGAAAGATGAACTCTCCTTGGCAAACTCTTGGTGGCGCACTGCTTAGTGAATAGCCCAAATTCCCACTGAAGCCTACAGGGGCGCGCATAAGGCAGTTTGAAGACTGTTTTGGGGGGTTAAATCTGATGATTTTGATAGGGGGTACGAGTGAAAAATGGTAAAAAAAAAACATTGTTGGTAAAAGCGATGTGCTATTACTAGATCCTAGGACTCTACTATCGCCTGACCATGTCCAAATGTTTTTAAAAAGGTGATTTGTAGAGTCCTAGGTACTTGGACTACTCATTATCATAATCTATGCATTGTGCTCGGTAACGGAATTGAGCTCGGGACCATTGAATGAACGCTGGGCACGACCACATTGCATCGTTCAAACTAGTCGGAAGTTTAACGTGTCCACGATTGCGAGGGGAGCTCTCGGAATTGAAAGGGAAATTTCACTTTCATCTGGATCGTAAGTAAACTTAAGTACCTCGATCTTAATCATCGATCTCTAGTTGAACCTCAGGTGGGGTATCTAGTAATTTGGAGGCCGTTTATGGGTGAATCTGGAGTTTTTGTTGGGCCATGTTAAGTCCGAGTAACTAGAACTCTACGAATTGCCTTTTTTTAACATTTGGGCATGGTCGGGCGATAGTGGAGTCCAAGGATCATAAAGTACATCACGTTTACCAATTGCACTCATACCCCCAATCAAAATCCTCAGATTTCACCCCCAAAACAACCCTCAAAATGGCCTGATGAAACAACCCTCAAAATGGCCTGATGTGCCCCTGTAGGCTCCAGTGGGAATTGAAAATACAAATGGTGGTGGTTAGGTTCACATACATGTACCTTTGGGAAGAAAAGAAATTTCACCGTCAATTTGGGAAACATCCTCGTCACACCCGCCGTGTCTGAGGCTGCAATTTTGATTCAGGAAAATTGACTTGTGAATGGCTTTTGGCTACACAGTTTCCTGGCTAGCATCATACAGACCAATCACAGGGCACTTTGATTGGTCGCAGTGGAGACGCTCAATGAAGACGACATGTGTTTGGCCCATTAAGGTGACCAATCCACGTGACCAATGGAAGTGCCCTGTGATTGGTCTTTCTGATGCTAGCTGCGAGCTAGTCTGGTTTCCTGTTCCCATTGTCCTTCTAACTCCAATATTTTTAGGGGGCCCGGGAAACAGTCTAGCCAGGACCCATGCACAAGGCAATTTTTCCTATATTCAAAATTGCAGACAGCGCGTGCAACGAGGATGTTTCCCGAATGAATTGGAGGTGAAACTTCTCTTTTCTTTCCTAAGGTATGTGAACCTAACCACCTTCAATTTGTATTTTCAATTCCACTGAAGCCTACAGGGGCGCATCAGGCAGTTTGAGGACTGTTTTGGGGGTGAAATCTGAGGATTGTGATTGGGGGTACGAGTGCAAATGGTGAAAAAAAAAAGATTATTGGTAAAATGTGATGTAATATTAGATCCTAGGACTCTACTATTGCCCGACCATGTCCAAATGTTAAAAAAGGCGATAAGTTGGGTTCCAAGTTACTCCGACTAAGTTACAAGTATTGGTGGGTCGAAATCCCCTTAAATGTCAAACAACAAAGTGAAATTAGCTCTAGTGGGGTCTTATTTGCTCAAAACGATGGATAAGAAGATCAGGCCAACTTGACTCACTCTTGAGCCAGCAAATTTCTCCAAAATTGTCAATGGGCAAAAAGAAAAGGTCCTCAGTATTTCAACAACGAAGTTTGAAGACTCAATTTAAATTTAAAGGAGATTTGTCTTCAATATTTGGCAGTGGCTTGCACAAGAGAGGGAAGTCAAGTGATTTCAAAATGAGGCTAAAGACTAGCCTTCTACATGTCCATCCATGGACCAACTGTTTGACAAGACTGACTTCTTCATTCTTTGTCATTAGTCTGGTGCCTGACTATGAAGAAATGTGTAGAAATATTGACCTAGTACCCGACATCCTAGATATTTCTTTTGGCACAGTGATCTGATAGTTGATTGATGCAGTATGAAGAGTTGTTGGACTGGTTGTTTCAGGTGCCAAGCGGATCCAGGGGGGGGGGGCAAAGGGGGCCATGGCGCCGGCCCAAAAAAAAAACGAAACCAATTTTTTTTATTTTTTTTTTATGTGACATCGCAATAAAGGCAGGCAATGAGTACACCACCATCTTTTCCTCAAAAAACATTGTTAAAGTGGTCAGAAATTGCCTCAGATCGCACCACAGAGCATCTAGAATCCAAAAAATTTTCGGGGCCCTTAAGCGAACCCCGTATCCCACACCGTAATTTTTTTGACCCACTTTTTGGGGGACCAAAATTTTTGTTGGCCCCCCCCCCCCCAAAAAAAATTGTGTTCTGGATCCGCCCTTGTCAGGTACCAGTCTATTTTCTTGTATAGCGTGTTTTTTATACCTTAAGTTTTAGGACTCTCATACACAGTATTGAGAGTCCACAATTTTCAGACTAATATCATTAGAACACGAAACAGTAATTGATTAAGCATGTAAAGCGCGACTTGCTTTTCTTTGATAGTGACGTCACACACACGCTCCATCGATCAGCACTGAAATGGATGGTACAACTGGGCAGACACATAAATTGTGAGCGGTAAGTTTATCTGAATATTTTGTTCTGTTTTCAAAATTACCAGTTGTTTGGAATAATTGAAGGGGTCTTATGGAATGTCATGAACATGTGGATCTATACAGGGTACAGTTGATTTTCCGGTTCCGCAAACGGAAATGGTTTATGGCGTCCAGCAACACAAAAACTTATTTTGATGGAAAAGTACTCATCCAGAAATATCCGTAATTTGTCCAGTTTCTTCAGAGACTTAATAGTTTGGGGCAGTTCTTGAAATAAAAATGCTACCGAGCTTTTTTCAGAGGTTGGTAGTTTGCCAAGTCTCGCCAAAAAAATGCCGGTTTTGCAAATAGCACACTCTTAATGGCAAGGTTTGTTTTTCCGACATCAGCTGTGTGCGCGCATCCACTGCTTTACGTTATTGGTTTGATTTTCAGGACAGGGGTCGGAGAATTCCTGTACATAGCCATCTCGGTTTTTATTTGGCATGCTTGAGTGGGCTACTTTTCCAGTCAGACATCAGTGTAAGCATAGTTAAAGGGAATATACATCATTTGCTTTTGCTGTAATTTTCAGAAATGGATGGAATTGGGGGGTTGGACATATATAGCAAATATAGTTACACTGACTTTTTTGAGGTTTTGGGTTCAAAAATGCTTTACAAACCAAGAAAAACCATCATTTTCCTGTAGTCTGGTTTCCTGACTCCATTTAAGAAGAAACAGAGCAGTTTACATACATTGGGGGAATTGTAAGGTCATGGAACCAGTCTAGCTGGCTTGTACCCGTTCATAGGTGTGTAATCGATTGCAAACAAGTGTGATGGTCAATTGGGGCCAGTATTTGAAAAAAAAGCCAGTTTTTTTCCAACGCTGGTCGGCCGATCAGCGTTGGAAATTGATACAAAAATACCACTTTTCTTGAAAATGACAGTGTACCAGGTGCCATGATTTTACAGGATGCTTTTACACTGTCATTCACTAACAGTCCAGCAAGGTATTTCAAAATGATTCGGGAGTTTTATTTTTGATGTTTGCAAATGTTGTATTTTCCCTTTAACTAAATGCTTGTTTATCTTCAAAGTCTGGTTGATCATGTTTATGGAGTGAATTACGATCGAGTGCCGCATGTGTAGGCCTATAGTTGAACTTAAAACATGATTTGCCGCAACTTGTCACCAACTACACATGCATTTTTTTCAAGATCCATGAAAGATCATTTCTAATCTTATGCGACTCAATGGATTGACTGAGTGAAACAGCGACAATTTTTTTTCTGGAAGAATTCTTTAAAAGTACTTAACTTTGACACTTTAATTAAGGAAATCATTTTGTGAACTGATTCTTTGACCATCACCCTTTATTTAACAGCCTTTATGACCTTTTCACCAACTGCTGCACTTTTGACATCAACCAAACTGATGAAGAGAGATGCACCGACAAACATATGTACTGTACACTATAGATTAAAGAGGTTGTGGAATGCTCGAAGATATTTCCGTCATTTTTTGGGTATATGTAGCCTAAGGTGTGATGAAATAAAAACGACTATTGTTTCTGTCATGAAATGAGTACAAAGGGTACTTTTGAGAGCTATTTTTTAGGTCCTGTTTGGACCCGAACGTGCAATTTTTGTAAAAGTCGTCGTTGCGGGCAGCAAACAAAACACAGTAAATCGTGACGTAATAAACAGGACTCGTTTATGCTACTCTGCATCGGGAGTCCTGTTTATTACGTCACAATTTACTGTGTTTTGTTTGCTGCCCGCAACGACGACTTTTACACAAATTGTCCGTTCGGGTCGAACAAAATGGTGTGTATCATATATCAAATTTACCATATATATCAAATTTACCATATTTAGTTAGTCCACATTTTGTCCGCAATCATTTACACATCTGAGAACAAGTGCAAGACGCTACTGCACTGGCTCCTTTACCTTACAATTCCCCTATGTCTATAAAGTGCTCTGTTTCATCTGAACAGGGGTCAGGGAACCAGACTACAAGAACAGCATTTTTTTTGGGGGGGGGCAGCATCATAGGTAAATGTTCCTATTATAACATCAGCTGCACCAAA